CTCCTTTGTCAAAAATTGGGTGTTCATAGGTGTGTGGATTAATATCCAGGTCTTCAATTCTATCCCATTGGTCAATGTCTCTGTTTTAATGCCAATACCAAGCTGTTTTGATTACTGTAGATCTGTAATAGTGCCTGAAGTCAGGGATGGTAATGCTTCTGGAAGTTTATTTATTGTATGGGATTGTTTTGGTTATGCTGGGCTTTTTGTTTTTCTGTATGAAGTTGATTATTGTTCTCTCAAGGTCTGTGAAAAACTGTGTTTGGATTTTGATGGGGATTGCATAGAATCTATAGATTGCCTTTGGTAGGATTGCCATTTTTACTATGTTTATCCTTCCTATCCAAGAGCATGGGAGATTTTTCCATTTTCTGCTATCTTCTTCACTGTCTTTCTTCAAAAACTTAAAGTTCTTGTGAAATAGGTTTTTCACTTCCTTGGTTAGTGTTAACCCAAAATACTTTGGTATATGTGGCTATTGTGAAATGTGAAGTTTCTCTGATTTCCCTCTCAGCATCTTTAGCCTTTGTGTATAGGAGGGCTACTGATATTTTTGAGTTGATCTTGTATCCTGCCACATCACTGAAGGTATTTATCACCTGTAGGAGTTCTCTGGCAGAATTTTTGGGGTCACTATCATATCATCTGCAAATAATAAATGTTTGGCTTCCTCCTTTTCAATATGAGTCCCCTTGGTCCCTTATGTTGTCTAATTTCTCTTGCAAGAACTTCAAGAGATATGGAGAGCGTGGACAGTCCTTACTTGGTCCTGATTTGAATGGAATTGCTTTGAGGTTCTCTCCATTTAATTAGATGTTAGTAGTCAGCTTGCTGTATATTACTTTTATTATATTTAGATATGATCCTTGTATCTCTAATCTCTCCAATACCTTTATCATGAAGAGGTGTTAATTTAGTCAAATGCTTTTTTGTCATCTAATAAAATGATTGTATGTTTTTTTTTCTTTCAGTTTATTTATATGATGGATTACATTGCTAGATGTTCATATGTTGTACCACCACTACATCTCTGGAGAGAAGCTTACTTGATCATAATGGATTATTTTTTTATGTGTACTTGGATTTGGTTTACCAGTATTTTTACTAAGAACTTTTGCATGTTCATGGGTAAGATTGGTCTGAAATTCTCTCTTGGTTGAGTCTTTGTGCAGTTTTTGTATCAGGATAATTGTAGCTTCATAAAACGAGTTTGGGAATGACCCTTATCTTTCTATTATGTGGAACACATTGAGGAGTATAAGTATTAGCTCTTCTTAAAGCCCAGGGCTCAAAGACATTTTAAAGACAAGATGAGATATAGTTTTGGCTGGTCTTGAACTCTCTGTATAGTCAGGGGTGATCTTGAAGCTCTGTTCCTCCTGCATCTACCTCTTGAGTTCTAGGACTACAAGCAATTACTACCATGTTCTGTTTATTGAATACTGTGACTCAAAACCACAGTGTTATGCATGTTATTAAACTTGGCTACATTCCCAGCCTTTAATATATTCTGTAATCTTCAGTTGGCTCCAACTTATCCCTCAAAACACAAACAATCTGTGGCTTTCAGACTCATAACCAGCTTAAACCTGGTGATGTAGACTTTCTGTTCTCACACACCACTGCATAACAGGGTTCAGGAAGAGCTTGTCCCATGAAAACCCATTCTGGCATCATTTGGCGAGTCTGGTCTTTCCAGCAGGTATTATCTTATGTGGTGAATGAATTAGAAATGACCCACGTATATAATGGCATTGGAACACTTGTTTTCCAGTTGGCGGCAGTTTCTTTTTTTTTCTTTTTATTTATTTATTTTTTTTATTGAGAATAAGAAAAAAAAAGTTTCCGCCTCCTCCCAGCCTCCCATTTCCCTCCCCCTCCCCCACTCTTCTCCCCCTCCCCCCACTCGTCTCCCCCTCCCTCTCTAATCCAAAGCGCAGTCATGGTTCCCTGCCCTGTGGAAAGTCCAAGGTCCTCCCCCCTCCGTCCATGTCTAGGAAGGTGAACATCCAAACTGGCCAGGCTCCCCCCAAGCCGGAACATGAAGTAGGATCAGAACCCCTTGCCATTGACCTTGGCTTCTCATCAGTCCTCATTGTTCGCCATGATCAGAGAGTCCGGTTTTATCCCATGCTGTTTCAGTCACAGTCCAGCTGGCTTTGGTGAGCTCCCAATAGATCAGCCCCACTGTCTCAGTGGGTGGGTGCACCCCCCGTGGTCCTGACATCCTTGCTCGTGTTCTCCCTCCATCTGCTTCTCATTGGGACCTTGGGAGCTCAGTCCAGTGCTCCAGTGTGGGTCTCTGTCTCTATCTCCATCCATCACCAGATGAAGGTTCTATGGTGATATGAAAGATATTCGTCAGTAATGCTATAGGATAGGGTCAGTTCAGGTTCCCTATCCTCAGCTTCCCAAGGGACTAACTGGGGACATCGCCTTGGGCTCCTGGGAGCCACTCTAGGTTCAAGTCTCTTGCCAACACTAAGGTGGCTCTTTTAACTAAGATATGTGCTTCCCTGCTCCCCTATCCAACCTTCCTTTATCCCAATCTTCCTGTTTCCTCAAGTTCCCCCAATCCTCCCCTTCTTACTTTTCTCTCCCTGTCCCCCCTTATCCCCAACCCACCCCACCCCCAAGATCCCAATTTTGTCCCCGGCAATTTTATCTACTTCCCTTAGGCAAGAGGATAACTATATGTTTTTTCTTGGGTTCACCTTCTTCTTTAGCTTCTTTAGGTTCACCAGGTATACACTCCGTGACCTTTATTTATGGCTAGAAACCAATTATGAGTGAATACATCCCATGTTCATCTTTTTGGGTCTGGGTTACCTCGCTCAGGATAGTGTTTTCTATTTCCATCCATTTGCATGCAAAATTCGAGAAGTCATTGTTTTTTACCGCAGCATAATACTCTAATGTGTATATATTCCACACTTTCTTCATCCATTCTTCCATTGAAGGGCATCTAGGTTGTTTCCAGGTTCTGGCTATTACAAATAATGCTGCTATGAACATAGTTGAACAAATGCTTTTGTCATATGATAGGGCATCTCTTGGGTATATTCCCAAGAGTGGTATTGCTGGGTCCAGGGGTAGGTTGATCCCGAATTTCCTGAGAAACCGAAACACTGATTTCCAAAGTGGTTGCACAAGATTGCATTCCCACCAGCAATGGATGAGTGTACCCCTTCCTCCACAGCCTCTCCAGCAAAGGCTATCATCGGTGCTTTTGATTTTAGCCATTCTGACAGGTGTAAGATGATATCTCAAAGTTGTTTTGATTTGCATTTCCCTGATTGCTAATGAGGTTGAGCATGACCTTAGGTGTCTTTTGGCCATTTGAACTTCTTCTTTTGAGAATTCTCTGTTCAGTTCAGTGCCCCATTTTTTAATTGGGTTAATTAGCATTTTAAAGTCTAGTTTCTTGAGTTCTCTATATATTTTGGAGATCAGACCTTTGTCTGTTGCGGGGTTGGTGAAGATCTTCTCCCAGTAAATGGGTTGCCTTTTTGTCTTAGTGACAGTGCTAAGGCAGGCGTTATCTTATGTTTTGAATGAATTAGAAATGACTCACATATATAAGGGCATTTGAATACTTGTTTTCCAGTTGATGGCAGTTTCAAATTTATGAGACACAACCTTCCAGGCAGTAATACATTAATACATCATTGAGTATGGGATTTGAGAGGAAATAAATTCCTTTATAATTTGCTCATTTACTTTATATCATGACCTCAGTTTCCCCTCTCTCTTCTCATCCCATTCCCTCTTCCTACATATCTCCCAACTCTACCTCCCAATCCCCTTCTCCTCTGTTCAGAAAGTGACAGGCCTCAGCATGGGTGTCAACATAAAATGACATGGCATGTTGAGGTAGGACTAAACTTCTCACCTTATATTAAGGCTGAGCAAGGCAACCCACTATGAGGAATAGGTTCCTAAATGTCAGCCAAAGCAATAAATACAGGCCCAACTTCTACAACTAGGAATCCAAGTAAATCAAGCTACTCAGTGTCAAACATATAGTGGCCCTAGGTCAGATCCATGCAGTCTCTCTCAGTCCAGAGCCTGTAGCCTCCTATAAGCCCATGTAAGTCATTTCTGTGGATTTCCTTGTGATAGCCTTGACCCACCTGGCTCATCCAATCCATCTCTCTCTTCAGCTGGATTACCGCAAGTAAGCCCAGTGTTTTGCTGTAGGTCTCTGCATCTGTTTCCATCCATCACTGGATGATGACACTGATGACAAGGTGGGCTGTTATTGTCCTGATTACAAGAGATGGCCAGTTCAGGCTGTCTATCCACTGTAGTTAGTCCTTAATTTGAACATCCTTGTAGAAGCATGGGAGTTTCCCTAGCAGTAGGTTTCTATCTAACCCTAAAATACCCCCATCAAGATGTATCTCAAATACTCTCCCATTCCATACATTCTCCCATTAAAATCCATCATGTTCCCACCCCTGCCATCACCCAGTTAACTCAGGAGATTTCTTCTATTTTCCCCATTTTAGGGACATATCTCTTTTTGCAATCCTTGCTACCTTGCCTCTCTGGGGCTGTTGATTATTGCATGGTCATCCTTTACTTTACAGATAATATTCACTTATGAGTACAAATATACCATATTTGCCTTTATGAGTCTGGGCTTCCTCACTCAGAATGATTTTTTTAATTCCATCCATTTTCTTTCAAGTTTCCTGATGATGTTGTTTTTAACAGGTGAGTAGCATTCCATTGAGTAAATGGACCAAATGTTCTTTATCCATTCTTTGGTTGAGGGGCCCCTAGGTTGTTTCCAGTTTCTGGCCATTATGAAAAATGCTGTTATGAACACTGGGGTTAATACTGAAAAGGTGGGGCATTTCTGGGTCAGGTAAAAGCCTTGTACAAGAGAATCTCACAGGAATCTATAGGGAAGCTCCAGCTTACACTCCTAGCATATCAGATATGTAGCCTGAACTGGCCATCTCCTATGACCAGACTGGTTCCTAGCCCGACAGTAATCAGAGTGACATCATCAAGTAACAGATGGAAACAGATCCAGACCCATAGCCAAACATTAGCTGGAGTTCAGGGAATCTTTCAGAAAATGATGAGATAGGATTGTAGGTGCCAGAAGGGTCAAGGACACCAGAAGAAAACTCACAGAATCAACCTAGTCTCATAGAGGCTCATAGACACTGAACTGAAAACCAGGGTGCCTAGAGAGGATTGACATAGGCCCTCTTCATATATGTTACAGTTGTGTAGAATGGCTCTCTTATGGAACTGTTAACTTCTTATAGAATGTCTCTGATTCTTTTACTGGTTCTATGGACCCTACTCCTTGTACTGGGTCACCTTGTTCATCTTTAAGACATGGGGAGATGCATAGTCTACTACAACTTGATATGCAATGTTTTGGGTTTTATTTTTGGTTTTTTGAGATGGGGTTTCTCTGTGGCTTTGGAGCATGTCCTGTAACTAGCTCTGTAGACCAGGCTGGTCTCAAACTCACAGAGATCTGCCTGCCTCTGCCTCCCGAGTGCTGGGATTAAAGGCATGCACCAAACAGATATGCAACATTTTGTTGATATTCATGGGAGACCCTCTGTTTCCTAAAAAGAAATGGAAGAGGAATGCTTGGGGATGTTAATAGAGGAGATGTGTGGGTGAGGGACTGGGAGGAAATGAGTTAGGAAAAACTAAGGCTGGAATGTAAAAGAAAGATAAACATTTTAAAAACAAAGGAAAAGCAAACAAAAAATCAAACTATTTCACCCATCCCTCTGGGCAATGACCTGCTCCCCTATCAAAGCCAGTCCTCCCTCATACCCATCACATCTGCCATGTCCAGTTTCAGTATACTTGTAGTCCTTTGCTACTTCATCATTCTCACCTTTCCATATTTGTTCATCATAATAGCATTGGGAGCTAAGATATGTCATGAAGTATACCCTTTTGCCCAAACAGCTTTACCTATAAATGCAATGAGGTGTGTTCGCATTCAGAGTCTCTGGCTTCTGCTACACCATCAATACTGGACCCTCATCTAGACTATGATGAGGATATTATTCGATATCTTGGATATTCTATTATTGCTCAGACTCATGTTGATCCTGTGGCTATTGTTCCACAGGGCTTGTCCTTTCCACCTTCTCCAGAAGCTTACTGATAGTGTCTATGTTGAGGTAAACCACTCAGTGCCCTGGATCTTGACCTCAATGGTAGCTGAGTTGTTCTGTCCTGGACGTTGCTGTTCCTTCTTTTAATCCAAAAGTGGTGGGCAAGGGGCAAGGTCAGGCCTGATTAATTTTAAGGTTCATTTTATTTTATGTGTAGATGTGTTTTTGCTTGCATGCATTTGTCTTGCTGCATATGTGTCTGATGTCCACAAAGACTGAAAGAGTACACTGACAACTGTCATGTAGATACTGAAAACTGAATCCTGGTCCTATAGAGGAACAGTGAATGCTTTTAACTGCTGGGCCTTCTCCCCATGTATACCTGTTTATTTTTTAAACATTTTAAACATTGGAGCACTGGACTGAGCTCCCAAGGTCCAAATGAGGAGCAGAAGGAGGGAGAACATGAGCAAGGAAGTCAGGACAGCAAGGGGTGCCCCACCCACTGTGACAGTTGGGCTGATCTATTGGGAGCTCACCAAGGCCAACTGGACTGGGACTGAAAAAACATGGGATAAAACTGGACTCTCTGAACATTGCAGACAAAGAAGGCTGATGAGAAACCAAAGACAATGGCACTGGGTTTTGATCCTACTGCATAAACTGGCTTTGTGGGAACTTAGCCTGTTTGGATGCTCACCTTCCTAGACCTGGACAGAGTGGTGAGGACACTGGACTTCCCACAGGGCAGGAAACCCTGACTGCTCTTTGGACTGGAGAAGGAGGGGGAAAGGAATGGGGGAGGGGCAGAGAATGGGGGGGAGGAGTGGGGTGAGGGGGGAGAAGTGGTGGGAGGGGTGGGAAATGGGAAGCGGGAGGAGGCAGAAATTTTTTCAATAAAAAAAAGAAATAAAATTTATCCATATGTTTTAGATTTTCCAGTTTGGTGGAATTTCTTAAGGTAAATTCTAATAATTTTCTGAATTTCACTGGTGATTGTCATAGTGCTCCATTTTCATGTCTTATTGTATTAGTTTTGGAAGTTGTTCTTCCCTTTGGTTAGTTTACCTAAGGTTCGTCAATATTGTTCACATTTTGAAGGACTCACATCTGTTTCATTGACTCTGGTTTGTTTTGCTGTTGGGATGCTTTCAAATATTTATTTCATTAATGCTGTGCTTACTTTACAGCTACTGATTTTGGCATTTGACTTTTTCTTTTTCCAGAGAGCCCTAAGGTGAACCATTAACCAATTTCTTAGATATCTAACTGATTTCTTAATGTAGGTACATTGACCTTTAAACATATCTCTTAGGTTTGTTTACATTGTACACACAGATTTTAAACTCTGTTGAAATCTCAGTTCTAACAGACCTTCTATTACATTAGACTTGGTGTTTCTCTCTTGACAATTTCAATGTGCTTTCTTTGTTTACTTTTACAATTCTGAGGGAAGATTATTTTTTAGTCTTTGTGGTGCCCCACTTTCCAACTGTATCTGAGTTGGCATCTGTTCCAACAGAAAGCAACATATAGAGATGTTATGGAATATTATTTTAAGATGTGTTACAGTCATTTATGTTGTAGAACATTTATTTTAATGTTTCAAAGATGTGTTGCATTCATTTATGTTTAATTTGTTTAACTCTGTGAAGCTGTGAAACTTTGCCTGTCTAAAACACCTGATGTTCTAATAGAGAGCTAAGCAGGCAATATTGAGGCAGGAAAAAAGAATAGGCAGGGCTGGTAGGCAGAGAGAACCTAGTTGAACACAGCCACTAGGTCTCATAACTTGATATATATCAATTAAAGTGTAAGAAAATAATATATCCAGGCTGAGTAATATGGTAAAAGCCTTCACTCGTGACAGTTAGGGGAAGGATATAGTGGATCAAAAGTTCAAGTAATCCTTTTCTACAAAACAGACAGAGACAGCCTTCTTAACATTTACTTTGTAATCCCAGCCTCCAAATAAACACATTATCTTCAAAAATCACCTCTAAAGCAAACCAAATGTTAATTATCAGCAAAGTATATGTTATTGGCTTATTTTTGATGCTCTCACTAACATGCTTTTGGTTTTTTGCTTATTTTCAGACATGATCAGGTGTATCTCAAATTGGCCACTAATTCACAATGTAATGGAAAATGACATTGAAGCTCTATTCTTCTCTTGACTCTAACTCTGAGTTTCAGTATTTCAAATGTGTGCCACCACTTCTGGCTTGGCTTTTAGCCTTTTTTATGGGCATAAATGTGTGTGTCCATGATTGTATGGAAACAAATGTGTGACTATGTCTGCTCTTGTGCCAAAGTTTGAATGTAGAAGATCAACAACAACATTAGGGGTTGAACCTTAATTTCTATTTCGTTCAATAGTTCCTGAGGATTCAAACTCAGGTGCTCACACTTAAAAGGCAAATGCATTCCACTGAGCCATCACCTGAGACCAGCTTTCAATCTCTTTAAGTGACTTAATTCTGCCATTTCTTGTGGAATTCACTTTCTCTCTACAACTTCCCAGTAGGTCATTTACCCTCAGTTTTCTTTTTTTTTCTTTTTTTACCCTCAATTTTCAATTAAATCTTAGAATCCTTGAATTCATATATTCTACTGCTGTTACCCTGACTTAACGCTTACCTTCTTTCCTGATTTGATTCAGTTTTTTCTTCAGATAATGGGTAACAGTGCAAGTGTGAAATGGAGGCTGAGACAGCACTAGACCAGGATCTATTGTGAACACATCACAATAGCCTTAGGAATGTAAATGAAGTTTGGATGTGAAGGTGGATGTCTATGCTTGGAAGGTCTCTACTTGTCTGTGTTTTGGAGGCTTGGGTGTTGAAGAGTGACTATTGAGTAGTGGGGGAAACTTAGAGGGGGAAGCCAGTAGAAGGTGATCTCCCTCATAATTACTTAAGATAGTTCTTCATATATGATGGAATTAAAATAGTCCAAACCTGACCATGTCCAGAAACCTCTGGTTACTGTATTGGTGTGATTGCTTTCCCCAACACATGCCTCAGTCATTGATACCCAACAGGAGGATGTCTCCTCATGGCATCATTGGTAAAGCTGTGGGTGATGAGTTTACTAGTGTTTTTGATTTTATCAGCTCATTGTAGTGTATGTACCATTTGTTACATTGAATATTGTAAATGTCAGTTTGATTTTTCTTAATAGAGGTATCTACCATTTGCACAAAAGGGGAAGGGGAGATGAAAAGAGAGAAGGGAGAAGGGGAGGATTGGGATGAGTTTGAGGAAATGAGATGGTTGAGATGGAGGAAGGGTGGATATGGGAGCAGGGAAGAAGATATTTTAAATGAGGGAGCCATTTTAGGGTTGTCAATATACTTGGCTCTAGACGGGTTCCCAGGTGTCCAAGGAGATGTCCCCATCTAGGTCCTTGGGCAGCAGAGGAGAGGGTGCCTGAAATGGCCTTCTCCCATAGGCACACTGTTGAATATCTTGCATATCACCATAGAACCTTCATCTGGCGATGGATGTCGATAGAGACAGAGACCCACACTGGAGCACTGGACTGAGCTCCTAAGGTCTAGAAGAATAACAGAAGGAGCAGGAACATGAGCAAGGAAGTCAGGACCACGAGCAGTGTGTCCACCCATGGAGACAGTGGGACTAATCTAATGGGAGCTCACTTAGGCCAGCTGGACTGGGACTGAATAAACATGTGATCATACTGGACTCTCTAAATGTGGCTGATAATGAGGGATGACTGAGAAGTCAAAGATAATGGCACTGGGTTTTGATTCTCCTGGCTTTTTGGGAGCTTAGACTGTTTGGCACATCTTCCTAGACCTGGATGGAGGGGAGAGGGGTTGGGCTTCCAAAAGGGTAGGGCTCCCTGACTTCTCTTAGGACTGGAGAGGGAGGGGGAGAAGGGTAGTGGGAGGGAAATGGGAGAAGGTGGAAAATTTTAATAAATAAATTTAAAAAAATCAGGAAATGCAGGTTGCAAATCATAAAAAAATAAGTAAGATAGAAGAAAGCCTTTATAATTCTGCCCAAAAGGCAGAGTTATATGCTATTCTCATGGTACTAAAGGATTTTAAAGAACCTCTTAAGTTTTGTGCATGGTGATAGATATGTGTGTATTTTCATTCTTCTACAGGTTGACATCCAGTTGTATCAACATAATTTGTTGAAGATGCTTTCTTTCTTCCATTGTATACTTTTAGCTCCTTTATCGAAAATGAGGTGTTCATAGGTTTGTGGGTTAAAATCCGGGTCTTCTATATGATTCCATTGGTCAACTTCTCTGTTTGTATGCCAATACCAAGCTGTTTTCAATACTGAAGCTCTGTAATAGAGTTTGAAGTCAGGAATGGTAATGCCTCCCGAACTTCCTTTATTGTATAAGATTGTTTTGCCTATCCTGGGTTTTTTGTTTTTCCATATAAAGTTGATTATTGTCCTCTCAAGATCTGTGAAGAATTTTGATGGGACCTTGATGGGGATTGCATTGAATTTATAAATTGCCTTTGGTAGAATTGCCATTTTTACTATGTTGATCCTCCCAATCCAAGAGCAAGGGAGGTCCTTCCATTTTCTGATATCCTCATCAATTTCTTTCTTCAATGCTTTAAAGTTCTTGTCAAATAGATCTTTTACTTCCTTGGTTAGAGTTACCCCGAGATATTTTATGCTGTTTGTGGCTATTGTGAAAGGTGAAGCTTCTCTGATTTCCCTCTCTGCTTCCATATCCTTTGTGTATAAGAGGGCGACTGATTTTTTGGAGTTGATCTTGTATCCTGCCACATTACTAAAGGTATTTATCAGCTGTAAAAGTTTCTTGGTGGAGTTTTGAGGGTCACTTATGTACACTATCATATCATCTGCAAATAACGAAAGTTTAACTTCTTCCTTTCCAAGTCAAATCCCCTTGATCCCCTTATGTTGTCTTATTGCTATTGCTAGAACTTCAAGCACTATGTTGAAGAGGTATGGCGAGAGTGGGTTTCTGAGTTTAGTGTTCCTGAGTTTAGTGGGATGGCTTTGAGTTTCTCTCCGTTTAATTTGATGTTAGCTGTCGGCTTGCTGTATATAGCTTTTATTATATTTAGGTATGACCCTTGTATCCCTAGTCTCTCCAAGACTTTTATCATAAAGGGATGTTGAATTTTGTCAAATACTTTTTCAGCATCTAATGAAATGATCATATGGTTTTTTTCTTTCAGCTTATTTATATGATGGATTACATTGATAGATTTTCGTATGTTGAACCAGCCCTGCATCTCTGGGATGAAGCCTACTTGATCATAATGGATAATTTTTCTAATGTGTTCTTGGATTCGGTTTGCCAGTATTTTGTTGAGGATTTTTGCGTCGATGTTCATGAGTGAGATTGGCCTGTAATTCTCTTTCTTGGTTGAGTCTTTGTGTGGTTTTGGTATCAGAGTGACTGTAGCTTCATAAAAGGAATTTGGCAATGACTCTTCTGCTTCTATATTGTGAAATACATTAAGGAGTATAGGTATTAGGTCTTCTTGGAAGTTCTGGTAGAATTTCGCATTGAAACCATCAGGTCCTGGGCTTTTTTTGGTAGGGAGGTTTTTGATAACAGCTTCTAGTTCTTCGTGACTAACAGGTCTATTTAGGTTGTTCACCTGGTCCTGGTTTAACTTTGGTATATGGTATTTATCTAAAAACGTGTCCATTTCTTTTACATTTTCCAGTTTTGTGCCATACAGGCCTTTGTAGTAAGATCTAATGATTCTTTGAATTTCCTCTGTGTCTGTGGTTATGTCCCCCTTTTCATTTCTGATCTT